TTTTTGTTTCTACAGGCTGGTCCCTGAAACACTTGTATTAGAATCTCTTGGGGGCAGTTCTTAAAAATGCAAGTCCCTGGGCCCCACCACAGAGGTACTTAATCCAAATTTCTGGGAGAAGGGCCTGTGAATTTGCATTTTAAACAACCTTTCCAGGTAATTTCGATCAGGAGCCACTTTGATGAGGAACAGCTGTTCCAGACTGGTGTTTTCCAGCCTTTTAGATCATGCACTCTTTTCAGAAAGAATTTTTTGAGGATGCATTTTTAATATATGTTGGTACTTTATAAAGAAATTCCTGACATGTACTAATGTGCTAATATTTATGTTTTTAAATAGAAAAAAATGGTGAGACTTTTGCATTCATATTCTTAGCTAAAAATTGTTTCCAGTTTTTCATTATGTATGTTCTAGTTTTTGGGTTTGGGTACTGACATTACACAGGATTCTTTTCTTCTCCCTCAATAGATTTCAGAGTCTAGGAAGTATAAATAGTATTGAGGTTGTCTGTTCCTTGAAGGTTGATAGAATTAAAGCAAGACTATATGAGTGTGCTATCTTCTTTTGTCAAATTTATCAACATTTTTCCTATGGTTAACAGGTGGGTTTAGATACCCTCATTCTTCAGCAATCGATTTTGGTAATTTTTGTTTTCCTAGAAAACCATTCTAAGTTTTCAAATTTGTTTTCGAGAGTAGAGCAAGTTATTCTCCTACTCTTTTCATTTACTCTGTAACCGTGGTTGTTTCTCCATTTCTAATTTTGTGCATTTGGTGGTTTTAATTAGATTAGCAAGTGGTTTATCTTTTTTATTGTTTTATGTTTTCTTTTGAAGAAGTAGCTTTTGGCTTTAATTATTAATTCTACCATTTATTTCCCAGTGTATTAATTTCTGCTATCAGTTTTCTTTCTGCTTTATTTGGGTTGATCTTTGTGGCTCTTGACTTCTTTTGCTCAATACTTAATTCAATTATTTTAAATTCTTCTTATTTATTAGTGTAAGCATCAAAGGCTTCATATTTTCCTTTGACCACTGCTTTAATTGGTCATATTCTCTAGGTTCTGATATTTTCCTTGTTGTTATTTTCTAGGCATTCTACAATTTCAGATGAGAACTTCTTTGACTAGAGGGGAGGATATTTTTTCCCTTTTATTTTCTATTACTAGAAATACATAGAAAAATTTCTCATTTTTGTTAGTAATTTCTAGTATTGTGTTGTGAGTAGGTGCTGTAGTCGTACTTCTTTCACTTTTTGGCTTAATATGTAGTCAATTTAAAAAAGGTTCAATTGACCCTTGAAAATAAAGAAGTTGAAATGTTCCCATTATCTTTGTTTTGACTGCCATGTCTGTCATCAGCTGAAACAGTCTCATAGTTTCTCATTTCTTCTGCCTTTTCATTTCCTATGGATTTTGCTTTCTGAATTTTGATCCTATGTTATTTGATACATAAATATTCAGGGTAGTTAGATGTTAATCGTACATTCTAACCACTAATTTATAGCACCCTTCTTTGTCTTATTTGTTGATTTTTCCCTTTAATTCAACTTTTTTTGCTATGTATATCATGGATGTTGTTTTTTCATTTTTGGCATGAATTAATTTATTTTATTTTTTATTGAAGTATAGTTGATACACAATGTTACATTAGCTTCAAGTGTACAACAAAGTGATTTGAGAAGTCTATACATTATGGTATGCTCACAAAAGTAACTGGAAGTCTGTATCTCCCACTTTCCTTCACCCATTTTGCTCATCCCCTCAACCCCCACTTGCACCCTTCTGGCAACCATCAGGTTGTTTTCTGTACTTATGGGTCAATTCCTGCTTTTTGTTTGTTTTGTTTTTTAGATTCAACATATGAAGAAAATCATATGATATTTATCTTTCTCTATATGACATAGTTTACTCAGCATAATACCCTCTAGCTCCCTCTTGTTGCAAACGACAAGATCTCATCCTTTTCTATGGCTGTGTAAAATTCCTGTGTGTGTGTGTGTGTGTGTGTGTATGTGTGTGCACGTACCATCTTTTTTTATCCATTCATCTTCTTTATCCATTTATCTGTTTTCATTATCCATTCACATACTGAAGACAATTGGCTTGCTTCTATATCTTGGCTATTGTAAATAATGCTACAGTGAACATAAAGGTACATATATTGAAAACAAACTAGTGTTTTCATTTTCTTTGGATAAATACCCAGTAGTAGAATTACTGGATCATATGGTATTCCTGTTCATTAATTCATTTATTAAATATTTATTAAATACCTACCGTGTGCCAGGCACTAGATACTAGATAAATTAAACACACAAGATCTCTGCTCTTGTGAAGCTTACATTTTAGTTAGTAGAGCACAAAATAAACCAGTAAAATTAGGCATGTGATATAATATTAGGTGGGGATATATGTCCTGAGAAAGAACAAAATAGAAAAAGGATAGTTAAGGATAAGTCATCTCTAGTTTAGATAAGGTGGTCAGGAAAGACTGCTGCTTATAGCATTTGCCATTCTTTTATTTTCCAGTCACTACTATGTTTGTTTGTTTCCGATGGAGAAAATGGCAGGTGGAACAGTTTGCACATAAGGAGTTGTTATAATCCTAAATAATGATAGGGTGGCAAAGGCCCAAATGAGAAGAGACTATAGATGTGAATTTCTGATCCATGTGAGTGATGAGCTAGCCAGGATGGGGACTGGAGATTAGCTAAGTGAAAGAAATTTTGTTCTTCATTGTATCTGAACTTGTGTATTATTATTTTTTAAAGAAATATTCTCAGTCTTCAACATGACTATTGAATGGGTATTCTGTCTGATGATTTAATTGAACTGCTGGAATTTCCTGTCACTAGACAGTACTTACTTAGCATGATGTTGATTGCTCACAGGCTACAGCAGGAAGCCAGATCTTCTGGTATAGAGTGCTTAACTCTTTATACTTTGAGACTAAAGAGATGTCCTTTGACTTTAGTCACTCTTTATTAGGCAGAGGTTTGCCTTTTTATATTTTTTTTACACATATTTAATATTTTTTTACACATATTTAAATAAACCTGTACTTCTTTCTTTGAATATTTGTTTGAGATTTTTCAAACAATGTATTTTTCAAAACAACACATGTTGAAGTGGTACAATTTTGTCTATTACAATAAATTTTTTACTTTTTTCCTTTTACCATATTTAATGTAGCTCCCAGACAATCTGCAGTTGACAGAGGTGAATAGAATGGGACCTACCTATGAATATTTTTTCTATTGCTTATAAGAATCTCATTTTGCCTCACACGTGATTTAATTTTCTCATAGTGTTTCTTTCTTATAAACATATACTATATATACATGTATACACATACATCTACTAAAACACACACACACACACACACACACACACACACACTTAATTCTTGAAGCCGCAATTTATTTTGGTATATAATAGAAGGTACAGCTCTAAATATTACTGCTCTGCAGTTATCTCAAAACATTTTTTAAAATATAATTCTTTATCTCCTTGTTATGGAAGGTGAATTATATACTATGTTTTTATAGATAGCTTGATATGTTTCTGGAGTTTTCATTCTGTTCATCAGTACACACTGTTTTAATTATAATTGCCTTATAATATGCTTAATCCTTTACCCTCATTTCTTCTGTAGCAAAATACTTTTTAATATTATATCTTACTTTATTTTGCAGGTTAATAAAAAATGCTATAGTTGAAAATTCCTGTTGAGAATTCTAATGAGAATTGCATTAGGAGGATCTATTTTAAACCCCAAGTAACAGACATTTGTGAATTGTCTGTTTAATATTTTTTGGTGCTAATATAAAAGCATAAACAGGGGCGCCTGGGTGGCTTAGTCGCTTAAGCGTCCGACTTTCGCTTAGGTCATGATCTCGCGGTTCGTGGGTTCGAGCCCCGCGTCGGGCTCTGTGCTGACTGCCAGCTCAGAGCCTGGAGCCTGTTTCAGAGTCTGTGATTCCCTCTCTCTCTGACCCTCCCCTGCTCACTCTCTCTCTCTCTCCTAGAAATAAATAAAACATCAAAAAAAAAAAAAAAGCATGAACAGAAAACGTCATATTCATGATATAGCTTGCATCTGGAGAGGCAGCAGGGGAATAGAAGTGGGGAGTGAAACAAAGGCTATTAGAATTTCTTTAAAAATCATAAAGTATAGATGGTAGGGTATAAAATGTGCTAATCGTGGTCAGTAGGTGGGAACATGAATATTTATTATAGCAATCTCTGTTTCTAAATATTTAAAAATTTTTATGATTAAAAACAAAGAAAACAAAAACAATATAACAGGATAATCAGACTTGTACAACACATTCCATCTGAGTGCTACAGAGTGGGCACAGTGTATGTATCCAAACTTTGGAGCTAGACTGTCCAGGTTGAAATCCTAACTCTACCACTTACTAGCTTTACGACCTTGAGCAATTTAAACAACCCATGCCTCAGTTTTCCTGGCTATATAATTAGGACAATAATAATAGCTACCTTCTAGGGTTATTGTGAGGATTAACTAAGTTAAAACAGGGAAATCACTTAAAACAGTACCTGCATTTGGTACATACTCAATAAGTGTTAGCTATCTGGGGCGCCTGGGTGGCTTAGTCGGTTAAGCGTCCAACTTTCGCTTAGGTCATGATCTCGTGGTTCGTGGGTTCGAGCCCCGCGTCGGGCTCTGTGCTGACTGCCAGCTCAGAGCCTGGAGCCTGTTTCAGTCTGTGACTCCCTCTCTCTCTGACCCTCCCTTGCTCACGCTGTCTCTCTCTCTCTCCTAGAAATAAATAAAACATTTAAAAAATTAAAAAAAAAATAAGTGTTAGCTATCAATATTATGTGTTAGAATTACTATTCTTATTATTGCATCTACCACGTATATTTGCATTGTTTTCAGGCCCTTGTAAACTATAAATAAATGATTTTATCCAAAATACGGGGCCATCTGCAACTTGCTTGTTTTACACAATACTCATCTTGCTGTTTTGCAGGGAAATGGCTCATCCCAAGGCTAGCTTTTCGTGGGCAACTCCTTTCCATCCTTGCCTTGAAAACCCAGCACTGGACTTGTCAAGCTACCGAGCAGTGTCTTCCCTTGACCTTCTTGGAGATTTCAAGCACTCCTCAAAAAAAACAGAGGAAACTTCTGTTTATGAGGAGGGGAGCTCCATGGCCTCCATGCCCCGCCCGCTGCGCAACCGTGCTTTCTCAGAGAGCCATATCAGCTTGGAGCCCCAGAGCTCCCGGGCCTGGGGGCAGCATAGGAGGGAGCTCTTTACCAAAGCTGAGACCCAGCCAGATCCTCTGGGAGCCAGGAAGAAGGCCTTTCCTCCTCCTCGCCCTCCTCCTCCCAACTGGGAGAAGTACAGGCTTTTCCGTGCAGCCCAGCAGCAGCAGAAGCAGCAGCAACAACAGCAGCAACAGGAGGAGGAGGAAGAGGAGGAAGAAGAGGAGGAAGAGGAGGAAGGGGCAGAGGAGGGAGAGGAGGAGGAGCTGCCACCCCAGTATTTCAGTTCAGAAACCACTGGTACTGGTGCCCTCAATCCTGAAGAGGTCCTAGAGCAGCCACAACCCTCAGGCTTTGGCAACCTGGAGGCTTCAAGGCAGGGCTCACAAAGCCTCTCAACAGAGCGAGAGTCCTTTGGTCTCCATTCCAGCGATTTCCTGCCTTCAACAAGGGGCCACTTGGGCTCTCAACCTGAAAAGGCTCAGCACCCTTGCTATTATGGTATTGGTGGGCTTTGGAGGACATCAGAGAAGGAGACCACTGATTCCCCCAAGTAAGTGCTTATGAAAGAAGAGGCTGCAACATGAGTTTGCCTTTCACCTCCATAATTTGCCGGCTGTATGACCTTTAGTCAATGAATTAAACTGTTCCCAGCTTCATTTTTATCACCAGGAAAATGGGCATGACGATACCTATTCTACACAGTTGCTGTAAATAGAGGATAATCTATATAAAGCAGAGAGCCCCACATGTAGCTCATAGTAGGTGCTCAGTAAATGGTGGTTGCTGGTGTTATTAAATATCACTATCAAAATGCTATCTTATTCCTTAGTTTGTCTTTAAGGTATGCATCAGTTTCAGGCTTTAAGCATTAAGTTTTTTAGTTTGTTTATTTTTGAGAGAGAGAGCAGGGGAGGGGCAGAGAGAAGGAGAGAGAGAGAATCCCAAGCACCCTCCACACTTAATGCAGAGCTCAATGCAGGGCTCAATGCAGGGCTCGAACTCACAAACTGAGAGACCATGACCTGAACCGAAATCAAAAGTCAGATGTTCAACTGAGCCACCCAGGTGACCCTGAGTCAGAGGGCATAAACCCTTGTTTTCTCATGGCATTTCCCAAAAACCTGGCTCAAGCCCTTTTCTGCCTTTTTCTTTTGCTTGCTCTCTAGAACAAGAGACCAGCTCACAACCTGACCTGCCTCTGCTTCTAAGCTCTTCCCCAATCCCCAGCAGCAAAGGTGTGCCTGGGGCTGTACCCTTTATGCCCTGCTTATTCCTTATAACAGTTAAGGGCACTCTTTTCCTCTTCCATGTTCTCCACTCTCCCCCCCACCATTGTACCCCCACCTATTTGCATTTACCTCAGTGGGCAATAGGTGGTAGTTGATGGGGTGAGCTGCCTGGGCAGGGAGGCCAAAGCAGAAGTGTAGTCTAGCCCCAGGACTACTGGTGTCCACTTCTCTGTGCCAGTGCTCATCTGCATGCCCTGTAATGCCTGGTTGTCTGCTTGGGTCCAAAGCAGAATAGCTTGGGCCTCAACTCTGACAGTCATCCTGCTGAAAACTCAGCCCATGCTCCAGTGGGGGTGGGGGTGTCCAGTATCTATCCCAGAAGTGCTTTCTTTAAATCCCTTTACAGAAGGAATTTGCCTGAGACTTGTTGCTATTAGAAGTACCTTGTTGGGGCACCTGGGTGGCTCAGTCCATTGAGCTTCCGTCTTCAGCTCAGGTCATGATCTCAAGGTTTGTGAGTTCAAGCCCTGCATCAGGCTCTGTGATGATAGCGCAGAGCCTGCTTCAGATCCTCTGTCCCCTCTCTCTCTGCCCCTCCCCCTCTTGCACTCTCTCAAAAATAAATAAAACATTTAGAAGTACCTTGTTATCATGTCTTTTACTGACACACAAATCCTTTACTGGGATCTGGGCTATCTAGAGCTAGGTGAGAAGTTTTCTGGCATAAGGTGCCACCAGCAAGGCACTACAGGGCTTGGCTCCTAGACACTGTGAGAATCTCTTATCAGATCCCTAGCAGCTGCTTCTCAAGTGTCCATCTAGCCAGGAAGTGTTCTTACTGTAATTAGAAAACATTTTGTGGAAAGTGATTGTGATTGTTATGGCCACAGCAGAGAGAGGGGAAGGTGACCTAGCACATAGTAGGCACTTAACATTTCAGAAGAAAGAATGAATAAATGAATGGTCGAATATGTATTAAGCATTTGCTGTGTGCCAGACACTGCTAGTCATTTCATATGACTGTGGACCATTAATTATTCATATTTGACAGAGGAGAAAACTAAAGCTAAGGAAGTTAAGGGACTAACTAACTCAAAATTGCATGACAAAATTCCAAAGCTAGATCTGTATGGCTCAAAAATCTATGCTTAATTTGCCACCCTAGGCAGCCTCTCTCAGAGAGATCTTGTTCTTGCAGTAGGCTGGGACTTCACCAGGCTTTCGTGCCTCCTATAGGGCAGTGCGTATAACAGGTAGTAGTTGCAGGCCCCAGACTTGCCCCTTTGAGCCTCCTAGTCCTTCCTGCTTCATGTACCTCCATTCACCTTGGCCCCTTGGCCAGAGAGAAGAAAACTGCTGTTACTAGAGATCTTATAACTTGTTCCAGAGATTTATTTCTTTTAATGACTATGGGATGTGAGGGGAAACATTTGTTTGCACACAGCCCTCGCTTGTGGCTGCAAAAAATTCAATTATAGATGCTTCTTTCAATGCTGTAGATTTAAGGAACAGCAATATTCCCAACATAACTAATATTTTTGGCCTGCTTACTATGTGCTAAGCATTGTTCTAAAAGTAAGCACTTTTATGTGTTGATCGATTTAATCTTCACAACTAACCTATGAAATAGATATCATTGGTGTGCTACATCTTTTAGAATGAGGAATTACAAGGACCCTGCAGAAGATTGCTGGTAGCCAGAACCCAGGCCGTCTGGTTCACTGTGCCCATTGCATCCTCATAGGATCTCTGGGCTCTTCAAGATCTTATTCCAGACCCTTGGAGAACATAGGGTTCTAAACAGAAGGAAGTGGCTTTAAGATTTTGTAAGGGAGGGGGGCACCTGGGTGGCTCAGTAGGTTAAGCATCCGACTGTGGCTCAGGTCATGACCTCAGTTTGTGAGTTCAAGCCCCGCATCGGGCTCTGTGCTGACAGCTAGCTCAGAGCCTAGAGCCTGTTTCAGATTCTGTATCTCTCTCTCTCTCTGAGCCTCCCCTACTCATGCTGTCTGTCTCTCTCTCTCTCAGAAATTTTTAAAAAATTAAAAAAAAAGATTTTGTAAAGGAGGGGCACCTGAGTGGTTCAGTCAGTTAAGTGTCTGTCTTCCGCTCAGGTCATGATCTCACAGTCTTTGAGTTCGAGCCCCGCATCAGGCTCTGTGCTGACAGCTCAGAACCAGGAGCCTGCTTCAGATTCTCTGTCTCCCTCTCTCACCACTCCTCCCCCACCTGTGCTTGCCTTCTCTCTCTCTCTCTCTGAAAATAATAATTTAAAATTTTTAAAAAAATTGTTGGGCACCTGGGTGGCTCTGTCAGTTAAGTGTACAGCTTTGGCTCAGGTCATGATCTCGCAGTCTGTGAGTTCAAGCCCTGTGTTGGGCTCTGTGCTGAGAGCTCAGAGCCTGGAGCTTGCTTCGGATTCTGTGTCTCCCTCCCTTTGCCCCTCTCCCACTTGTGCTCTGTCTCTCTCTCTCTCAAGAATAAGTAAACATTTTTAAAAAACTAAACAAAAAAGCTTCCATAAGAGAGAAATGTTAGGATCAAGTAGATACATATTTTGAATCTAAAATGCAAAAAAAAAAAAAAAATCCAAAAACATCCAAAGTTCAGCCAAATCAAACCAGAGTATCTCTGTAACCCACCTACTACTGAGTTACAAAACACTATGATACATGTAGGAGCGGGTTAGTGGAATTCCCAAGTGTTGCTTAAGTCTCATAACTCTGGTTCAAGTATAGGTATAGTATGCTTCCTGAACTCCATGTATTTCCTTTCAATATTCTGCAGGAGGAATCTGATTTTTGCTTCAATGTTCATTATCAAATGCAGATTATGGTCTCAAAGATCTCCTGTAACCCCTGCCCTATTAGTGGATACTATGAGGAAAGTAGCACTAGGACACGTGGTGCCTAATATGATACACTGTAACATGGTGCAGAGCTGTGTCTGCTGTGAACTGAGTCTATAATTAGCATATCCTTTTAAAAATATTTCCAGTTTTTAAAAAAATTTTAATGTTTATTTTTGAGAGAGGGAGAGAGAGAAAGAAGAGAGAGAGAGGTGAGTGGCGGAGGGGCAGAGAGAGGGAGACACAGAATCCAAAGCAGGCTCCAGGCTCTGAGCTGTCAGTACAGAGCCCAACGTGGGGCTTGAACTCACTGTGAGATTGCGACCTGAACAGAAGTCAGATGCTTAGCTGACTGAGCTACCCAGGTGCACCAAAAACAAAACAAAACAAAATTCCAGTTTTATTGAGATATAATTGACATACAGCCTCATCCTTTTCCCCTTAATTCTGTGCTTTCCTTCAGGAATTTCTGAGCCAGAACTCTCACACATGTCCTAAGTATTTTTTCTTAGAGATAAGAACTCCTTAAGTTCATACATTCATATTGCCTCCAGAATGTTCTTTCTTGTCTGCTAACATAGATATAGTCCAGCCAGAAAAGCCCTTACATGAAAAGTTTTATATGATATCAAGTTGTCCCTTTGGCAGTATATCATTGTGGCTAAAAACATAGATTCTGGAGTTAGGTCACCTAGTCTAAATCATGGGTCTATCATTTAGTGTCTGGTGACGGTGGTGAACTCACTTTCCCTCTCAGTGTCTCATGTTCCTTATCTATAAAATGGTTGTCATGACCATTAAATTTTATAGCTATATCTACACACACACACACACACACACACACACACACACACCTTAGGACAGCTTCTAGGGCATGGTACACACTGTGTGAATAGTAGCTACTATTGCTCATCTATTAGTGTTATTAGCTTAAAAACCTACATGTAAAATGAATACCTCAGATGAGAAATATTGGCATATCCAAGTTTCTTTTGTGTGATGAATTAGGAAACAGCATAGCATGAATCCGTAAACAGCTGTGGCGCCTTTTAAACCATTATTTTTGACCTTCATCTAAGAGCTGCAAGTAGCTGCAAAAATGACTAATGAGTTTCTCCTATTTTTCCTTTCAAACAGCTAGAGGTTAGCAAAGGGGCAGTGACACAGACAGGTGGAGGGTAGGGGTGACTGGTAGACAACAAGAATATATTGAGGGTGGGCATCCCTCTTGCATAAACCATGGGTGGAATTATTTGCCCTTCCATCACTGAAACCTGACATTGAAGTATTTCTTTTTTATTTCCTTCCTCACGCCAGACCAGAAGCCTTGATGGCAGAAGATTCTAAACCCAAGCCAGCATGGAGCCAGAGCTACTTCTTCCCTGAGGAGCAGTTCTCTTTCACGGGCTGGGGCTCTGAGAAACAGCACCTTAGCCCCACGGGCTTCAGTGAACCCAAGACAACAGGGTCTGCCACTCCACTTGTCAAGCCCCTGGGTGCCACTGGTTCCAATTTTTCCCCATTTCATTCTGCAACCATGGAGGAGGCTGGGGCCACTGGGGATATGCCAGAAGTGGAGAGATGCTATCCCTTCCCAGGCCGAAGGCCTGCCTCACAGGGAGTCTCAGAAGAGCTCATGAGAGATGTGGTAGGCCGTGATAAGTCCCTGGCAGGGGTGTTAACCCCAGCCTCCAACATGGTGACCACTGCTGAGGTCATGGGTGACCTCTTTGCTGTGGGAGATCTGCAATGGAGGGGCCGTTTCAAGCAGAAATGGCACCATCAAGAAAGAAGAAATGATGAGAGTGTCCAGGAAAGCTACAGGGTGCCTTTGTAAGCAAGCAGACTAGATACAGCAGGAGCAGGTGGGGGTCTGGGGTGGGTAAGAGGGAGGTCAACAGTCTTGGAGGATGAATAGCTGAGGTCTCAGCCATATCTCTACCACCTACTCCTTCCCTGGAGATTCATACTCTGGAGCCATGAACCCAGGGGAATCATGGAAAATCAGAAGCCCAGAATTTTGGGGACCTTCCAGTTTTTTTGGATCCTAGTGGTGTGATGACCAAACCAAATCATCTCCTAAGAAGTTCCCCTACCTGTGGAAGTCATGGGTATAGAAATAGCCTCCCTCATTCTCAAAGTTGGCCTTGACTTGGCTTCTAGGAAACCTTCATGTGGCCTGTTTACATTTCAACAGTGCTTCCTGGTCCATTATTTCCTTATTTCATAGCTCCATTGGCGAAGCAAGGTCCCATTTTTACAAATGGGGAAATCAAGAAGTATAAAGGTCAGGAGCCTCTCAATGGAGGTGCTCAAATGGTCATTCTTTGTTTCCACAGACAAGAATTTCAGCACTTCTCGCCTCCTCTGGGGGCCCCAGGGATCCCTACCTCTTACTCAGCTTATTATAATATTTCGGTGGCTAAGGCAGAGCTGTTGAACAAGTTGAAAGACCAACCTGAGATGGCAGAGATTGGCCTGGGAGAAGAAGTTGACCATGAGCTGGCTCAAAAAAAGGTGACATTTTTTGATATGCCATAGATTTTCAGCAGTCTGTTTGATTATCTGGAAGTTGATCTGCCCTCTACCTTTCTCCAGAACAACTTGGTATATTCCCATATTTTCAGTATGGAAATCAAATAGCCTCTCCAGTTTTCTCAGAAATGCGACTCCAGTCTCTTTTTGACCCAGCCAATAACAGTAATGATAGTAGAAATCATAATCATCATCACTGTGTCTCTCAATTCAACAACAATCCCCTTTTTACCAGTTGAGAGGATTAGGTTGCCCAGGTTTACAGACTAAGTGGTAGATCTAAGACTTGAAGTCAAGACTCTCTCACTGTCTACTTTATTGTTACATCCCCCTATGAAATAAGTCAGCCTTGCAAGTAACTTGCTGCCCTTGACACTCAGAGTTTTTGCCAATGAGCTCTAATCAATAGCAGCCACTGATTGTACTCCCTGTATAACTTTCTAGAAGATGGAATAGATTGACTAACCAAAAGAAGGAGAAATTATAGCCTGGTAAACTTTAGTATTTATTTACAAGAATAATCAATAATCTCTTTAAAACACTAGAATAATCAACAGACATGATGTTGTTGTTCCAAAGCCCGCCCGTTCTTCCTCTAAGCATCACTAGGCTAGTTTTCTAATCAAATTCCTGGAATCACTTTGCCCTCCCTGCACTTACCCATTTTATTTCATAAGCAAATAGGGTTTCCATGGCAACTCCAAAGGCCCAATTTACCACTTTGTGGACATCTAAACTCAACACAAATTGCTCCTCTGCCCATAATTCTCATTCAGGACATGACCTGTAGGAAAGCTCAAAGCCATTTGCAAGAGACCACCCACCACTTTCAAATCTGAAGCAAAATGTCAGGAAAAGAATTGAACGCGTGGGTATCAACGTTTTATTGATCCAGATGCCTGCCTCCTTGGATTCCATGTTCCCTGAGCATGGCAAGGCTGCTCCCAGCTTACTCAGGACCTTTTTATTAGGAGCAAAACTAACAAGAGTCTGATGAGGAAAAGAGAAAAATGATCAGAAATGGCAAAGCACAGAACAGCAGATAATGATTTGAAGTGATTGGGGTGGGGACGGGGCGGCTAGGACATTTTTTGTCTCTGAGGGCAGGTAAAGAAGGTCACTGATTTGCAATATCCTAGAAAAGTAACTCAACTCTGACAGGGTCTGTGATGACTCTTCAGCTCTATCCAGTATACTTACCCCAGGGTTGAAGTTCAGGTTGCAAAGCCCAGGTGCCGAGAAATAAAAGGCTCTTTTTTTGCATCCCTTCAGATCTTAGGAACTGAAGAGCTGGGGTGGGTAGGTGATTTTCCAAGTTGATCATTTGGCCCTCAGTCCTCCCTTGTCCCTGGCACTGACTTTTGTTTGGGAGAGCAGAGGGTAGGTATACAACTGGGAGCCTTGTGGTATCTAATTGTGTTGCCTCATTCATATCATTGATTCTTAATTCCTAGTAGGTTTTAGAATTTCCCCTAAATGTAAACCTATGACACTTCAGATTTAAGATCATGGTGATCTACTGACTTTTGGCCAGTTCTCAAATATGATAACAGGCCCTGGACCCAGAGCAGTCTCTCTTGGTCTTGGTCACCTTGGACATGTCTAAATAAACTATTAGAAAGGAGCACCTGCCAGAAAACTACAGGCCTATGTATGGTCCCAGAGTCCCTGGGCAGGAATACTAAAACAAACACCGAAGCAAACTTCAGTACATACATACAAGATACAGAATACTATTCTAAGCATGTAACCTGTATTAGAACAATACTATGAGGTAGGTGCTATTGTTGTCCTATTTTTTAGATGGGGAAATTGAGGGGCACCTGGGTGGCTCGGTTTGTTGAGCATCTGACTCCAACTCAGGTCATGATCTTGCAGTTTGTGAGTTTGAGCCCTGAATCAGGCTCTGTGCTTACAGCTCAGAGCCTGGAGCCTGCTTCAGATTATGTGTCTCCCTCTCAGTCTGCCCTTCCCCTGCTCCTACTCTCTCTCTCTTCCTCTCTCTCTCTCCCTCTCTCTCTCTCTCTCTTGCTCTCGCTCTTTCTCTCTCGCTCAAAAATGAATAAACATTTAAAAAATTAGATGGGGAAATTGAGACACAGAATGATTGAGTAATTTGCTCAAGGTCACACCAGTGCTTTGCGGCAGAACTAGGGTTCAAACCCAAGTAGTCTTGTACTAGAGTTCATGGTCTTAACTACGATGTGATGCTGACCTACTGGGGCAGGTCAATTCTCATTAGGACTTTGCACTAGACAAGCATCTATTATCTCAGAGTGCCTGGTAATAATAATAACAGCAGCAGCAGCAGCAGCAAACAGGTATTGAGCACTTAATGTGTCAGGCAAAAGACTAAGCATTTTACTTCTATGATCTCATTTAACCCTCACCACACTGGCAGGGTGGGGGAGGAGAGACACTTCTTCAGTTTATAGATGAGGAAACAGAAATCTCAGTGCAGTTGGGTATCTTGCCCAAGGTCACAGTTTGGAGGAGGCAGAATTGGAATCCAGGCATCTCTGACTCCATTCATCCACTCTACCACACTACCTTCCTGGGAGTGGAGTTCTAGAACTTGTTATACCTACAGAGAAGACAAATCAGGAGACACAGGCAATGCTTCCCTTAAGAAATTTAGCATCAATAGGAGAGGGATCAGACATACCCACATGAAACAGGGAATGAGCCACTTCAAATTACACTATAGGTTCTATTTCTTAAAGGTGGGAGAGTTCATAAAAGAAAGAAATCATTCAGGAAACGGGTAGGGAAGCAGAAGCTTCCAGCAGGGAGGTTGGGAGGAGAGCTGGGCTCTGAAAAAAGAATAGGAATAGCTAAAGTGAAAGAAGAGATTGAGAGCAGATAGAACTGCATAATGCAAATCAGGAACACCAGGGCAATGTGGTGAACAAATAGGAGAAAGAGGAGCTAATGCTGAAAGGTTCAGAGTCCTGAGATTGGAATGGCAGGGTGGGGCTAGGCTGAATAATAACAATAGCAGCCAGCCTTTATTAAACATTAATCCATGCTAAGTCCTTTGCATGCATCATCTCATTCAGTCCTTATTATAGTTCAGCGAAGTGGGTACTGCAATTTGTACCCATTCTTCAGATAAAGAAAGTAAAATTCCACCAAGACATTCACACAGGTCACACAGCCAGGAAATTGGCAGAGCTAGTAGTCCAAGCTAGTCATCAGGACTTCAGAACTCACAGCCTTATCCAAAAGGCCTCAGAGGACAAATGGAGGGAGTGAAGATCTAGCACAGTGCCATACACACTAGAGATAGTTCAGTGGATTGAAGGCGAATGAATGAAGCTGTGGGCAAATATTTGACAACAATGCTTTTCCAACCTGCACTCTCATAAGCATTCCAATTCCTATTTATTAAATACTCTCTTTTCCAAAGAAGACATCCAGGTGGCTAACAGACACATGAAAAGATGCTCAACATCACTCATCATCAAGGAAATACAAATCAAAACCCCAATGAGATACCACCTCACACCTGTTAGAATGGCTAAAATTAACAATTCAGGCAAGAACAGGTGTTGGTGAGGATGCAGAGAAAGAGAAACTGTTTCACATTGTTAGTGGGAATGCAAATTGGTGCAGCCACTCTGGAAAACAGTATGGAGGTTCCTCAAAAAGTTAAAAATAGAACTACCCTATGGCCCAGCAATTGCACTACTACTTATTTATCCAAAGGATACAAAAATGCTGATTCAAAGGGGCACACGCACCCCAATGTTTATAGCAGCGCTATCAACAATAGCCAAATTATGACGATAGCCCAAACAAATGTCCATTGACTGACTAATGGATAAAGGAGATGTTTTGTGTGTGTGTGTGTGTGTGTGTGTGTGTGTGTGTGTGGTGATCAAAAAGGATGAAATCTTTCCATTTGCAACAATGTCGATGGAACTAGAGTGTATTAGAGTAAGTAAGATAAATCAGAGAAAAATAAATATCATATGATTTCACTTATATGTGGAATTTAAGAAATACAACAGATGAACATAGGGGAAGGGAAGGACAAATAAGATAAAAAGAAAGGGAGGCAATTCATAAGATACTCTTAACTACAGAGAACAAACTGAAAGTTGCTGGTAGGAATGTTGGGTAGGGGGATGGGCTAAATGGGTGATGGGCATTAAGGAGGATACTTGTTGGGATGAGCACTGGGTGTTATATGTATATGTGACGAATCACTAAATTCTACTCCTGAAATCATTATTACACTACATATTAACTAACTTGGATTTAAATTAAAAAGAGAATAAAAAATAAAGAATACAAAGTATATAAAGAAAAAACAAATATATATATATATACATATATATGCTGATTCAATTTTATTCTGAAAATATAGCAGATTTCAGTAAGTATAAATTAAATATAGCAGATTTCAGTAAGTATAAATTAAATAAGACTAGCTATTAAAAAATAGTCTCGCAAGTGTTTATTAAGTTACATCTGGCAAATGAGAATTAGCCCATGGGTACCATTATCTAATGCCAAGAAATTTGGTGGTAACTGATTCCTACCAGATCTGAAGAAATGGGAAAGAGGGTGGCTGTCCAGAAAACTGGAATTGCTCATGACTTGCTTGGGTTTCCTTTCTTTCTGGTGATGGGTAGAGCCTGCCATCTGTTCTGTGGATCCCAAAACAGAGGTTACAGGCACAGATCAGTTTCTACCAGTCCCCATTCTCATCCTTTGCCTTCTCCTGTTTATTTCTCCTAGATACAGCTTATTGAAAGCATTGGCAGAAAACTGTCTGTCCTGCGGGAGGCCCAGCGAGGACTGCTAGAGGATATCAGTGCCAATTCTGCCCTTGGGGAGGAGGTGGAGGCCAACCTGAAAGCTGTCTGTAAATCCAATGAGTTTGAAAAATATCGTTTGTTTATCGGGGACCTGGACAAAGTAGTTAACCTGTTGCTGTCACTTTCTGGACGACTGGCCCGGGTGGAGAATGCTCTCAATAGCATCGATTCAGAGGCCAATCAGGAGAAGGTAGAATTGGGTTCTCTGGGGTGTAGATGGAGGGAAATGTCACTGGTTTATTCTAAGGGCTCCCTCTTTCAAGTTTGGCTCATCTTGGAGATAGTAAAGCATAGTGTTAATAGTGTGGGCACTCTTAACTGCCTTGCAGTTCTGGCTCTACCAATAATTAGCTCTGTGACTATGGGCATCTTACTTAACCTTACTCTATCTCATTCTCTTCAAAAATGGCGTGAACACACTACCTAATTCTTGGGGTTGTGAGAATTAAATTAGTTAGCACACAGTAATTACTCAAAACAGGGCCTGGAATGGGGCAAACACTGAATCAGTTCTAGCTGCCAGTAGTAGTAGTAGCAGTAGTAGTGGGTGGCAGTATTGATAGTGATAGTGGTGGTAATAGTAGTAGTAGTAGTAGTAGTAGTAGTAGTAGTGGTAGTGGTGGTGGTGGTAATAGTGGTAATAGTAGTACTAGTGCTATTGGTACTGAAGGCGACAATAATAGTAGTAGTAGTAATTGTGGTGGGGGTATTGGAGGTGATAATGATAATAATAGCAAAGTGGTGGTGGTAGTAGTATTGGTGGTGATAGCAATAATAGTAGTAATAGTAGTAGTGGTATTGGTACTGATGGTGGTAGTAACAGTAGTAGAATAGTGGTGGGAATATTGGTGGTGGTAGTAGTGGTAATAATAGTAGTGGTAGTAGTAGTAGTAGTAGTAGTAGCAGCAGCAGCAGCAGCAGCAATTTCACCTCACATTCTCTCTGAGGTGGAGGAGGAGGTCTCACCAAGTAGTTGAGATTGGGAGTCTGTCAGTTACATGGGTAAGGCCATGGGTTGTGCTGCGTACATTCCCAAACCAAACCTGCATCCCCTTTCTATATTCAAGTGGTTTGGGACATAAATTTGAATCCACAATAAGAAGCACTCATGCATGTACATACACACATGGACACATACACTCACACATGTACATCCACATAGAGACACCATCTTGAAAGCACTGTCACAGTGATACCTCTTCTCCAGGTGGAAGGGGCCTGAGCTTTGTCAGAGCCCTCCTCCACCCTAACCCCAGTGGTGGTCCATGGATTAAAGACAGCTTAGAGATGAAAAGAGGTAAATGCATATACCCCTGCCCAGAGTCACTGTTGTGTTTATCCTCCCCCCCTGCTATAGGACAAAAGGGCTTTTGCCTGAAGGCGAACTTCAGGGCAGGAAATCTAGGACTGATCAGTTAGCATAGTGGGGAGCTGCTATGCTCCACTGTGGAGCAGTGGGTTAGGCAGATGACTAGTAACTGGGATGGCTCTTAACTGGTCTATCTGATTCCCCAGCTGGTGCTGATAGAGAAGAAGCAGCAGCTGACAGGGCAGTTGGCAGATGCCAAGGAGCTGAAGGAGCATGTAGACCGCCGGGAGAAGTTGGTGTTTGGCATGGTTTCACGCTACCTGCCTCAGGACCAGCTCCAAGATTACCAGCACTTTGTGAAGATGAAATCTGCTCTCATCATCGAACAGAGAGAGCTGGAAGAGAAGATCAAGCTTGGGGAAGAGCAGCTCAAATGTCTCAGGGAGAGCCTACTCCTGGGGCCCAGCAATTTCTAATTCCACCAGCAGACTGCCACACAATCCCTGCCCAGCCACAATGGGAAGTGCTTTCAGTCTTCGTTAGAAGTTTGTTAGCAAGTAGATATCAGTTTAGTTAGCAATTTGTTCCATATCCTCTTCCTTGGACATTTCTCACTGCCCCTTACCTAGCATTGCTCCCAACCAGCTAGAAGTTCCTGAGGAGGCCTCCAAGCCTCTACCCTAGGGAATAGATGCAAGATCTAGGAGCTGCCTGCAGCAAGGGGTGACCATACAGCCACACTTCCCTTCCCACAGTTTGCACAGGCAAGCGCTCACTGCATGCAGAACCAACAATGTGACTTCATTCTTTTTGGCCCAAGGACTGCAAAGACACCATGCATTTACCACCCACCCACACCACAATCAGCCTCTCAAGGATCAGAGAGAAGCTGCCTGTGCAGCTCCGTTTTGCCCAAGGCTTGCAGCCCAGCCATTTCCCAGAGAGGTCTGGCTGTCTTGAGGTCATCACTTCCCACCAGTGATGGTCCTTACCTAAGTTTTATAGTGGGAAGCACAGAAGGAGAAATTACACTAAACAGAATGTGAGCAAAGATCGGGAATCCCTAGGTGCCCTACTGAAGGCTGGGTTTAAACAAATGGGCTCCACCTCCACCGGCCCCAGCATCTAGTTGAGGGGGAAGAGGCCTACTCTGGCTAGTGTGGCCCTCCTCCTGTCCTCATACTTCTGGCTTACCACTTCCTGTCCCATCTTGCCTTTTCATTACCAGGGGTCACCAGTGCCTACCCTAAGGGCTTGACACTATGGGCCATTAATAGCTCTGCTAAAACTAACTTCTGGATACACATTTCATTATTGGGGTGAGGGGTTGTTTGTTGTATTTTAAATGGCCATTTGATTTTATTTATTTTTATTTTTTATTTTTTCCCCTTTTTTTAACTAATAAGGCGAGAAGAGGGGAGGTGGAAAGGGAAAAGTAATCCCAGAAGGAAAGCATGTTCTGCAGATCAGCCTGAATTCACCATGGTTAGATGAGCAAATGCCAAGGCCTTGAAGTCTACAAGTATCTAAGAAAGGAGTTCTCATCTTGAACTCAGTTTACTATGGCCTGACCCTATACTGAAGTCAGCAATGACCATAAGTTTAGCATTCCCCAGTAGATTTCAGTTTTTTCTTACATATTTTTTCTCAAAACCAAAGAAATCCAAAACTGACAAAGGTTCATCACCCATTTCTCTACCATCTCCCATCTAGGGAAATGGGTAGACGTGAGCTCAGGAGAAGATCCTCTATCTCACAATTGCTTTCTCAGCCTATGGCCTGACTCAGGGAACAGAAAGTCATGGTAGCTGGAAGCTAGCCCCCCAGAGCAAATTATGATCCAGCCAGTATCTTAGGCACACAAACAACTAATGCTGCTGTTGTTGCCAACGCCCTGACACCACTAGCCAGTTTCTGTCCTGGAAAATCCCTCAGAAGGGTGATGGCAGGAAGGGAGTTGTGGCCAAACTCTGGCCTCTTATTCAGCTTAATTCCCCATTCCTTGCTCACTGGCACCGGCAGTTGGTATTGCACAGCTCTGCCCAACAAACCTGGGCATCTCTTCTAGTTACTGCTGAGTTCCTTGGGGTCCTTTTTAGGTTAACTGTAGCAGCAGGGATGCTTCATTCAACCAAAGAATTTGCCAAAGAACTTTGCAGCTGCTACAAATACTGGTCTCTAGCTTCCGTTTCCTCTTCATTGTATTTGGAAACAATGGAAGAATCTTGGCCAGCAGGGTGTCCTGAGGGGAGCCCTGGCTATGCTGTTAGTACACTGCTGCTGTCAGAACCACTGTAAAATGTTAACCTGCCATTCTTCTCTAAAGTGGGGGGGGGGGGGTCTACTCTATTCAGGAAGGCTGATGGCTTGTAAATGGCTAGGCTTATGCTAGCAAGATTGAGGAAGGTGGGGGAGTGCTATGAATAGAGGCTGTGGTTGCCATCTTTTTTTAAATTTTTCCTTAAACAGGCTCTAGGATAAACAATGAGTAAGTTGAGATGTCCGGTACTGGGGGTTGAGGCCAATGTAGTCCATTTTTCTAAGATTTTTCTGGGGCCGGAACTGTTTTGGGGAACACCGGCCCAGGAAAGAGTGGTCACTTGCCCGGGCATGATGATTGTGGTCTGGGTTTTTCTAGTCAGTGTTAGACTGGTTGTACATTAAATTTCTCACACTAAAAGTACTATTGATTGTGTAATTTTTGTCCCTCATTCCACCAAAAATTAGAGTTGGAATCAGAGCACAAGGATGCTCATTTTCACACAGAAAAAGAGTGAACTCCAAAAGGGAAATAATGCTCCTGAAGTGGCAGTGCCATCGTGACTGATAGTGCTTCAGAGCTGCGAAGCAGTGTCTCTCCTCTGATCTCGTTTCCTGGGCTCAGCCCTCTTGCAAAACCTACCAGGGGTAAGCAGTTTGGAAGGCAGGCCAAGGGATTTCCCCAAAGACAGTTATTGGTCTTAACTTTTACCCTCTCTCTTCAAATACTTGGATAGGCCCCAGTGGGTAATAGGTTGATCTAGAGAGAGGAATCAGTACAAGAGTTACTATCACTTGTCCCTTCTTACTCCCCCTCCCCAACCCTGGGTAATTGAGTCTCCTTGAGTCCCACTGACTGCAGACTCAGCCAAGGTATAGTGGTAAATGCTCAAGGGGAATCCAAGAGAAAGAGGCAGACACACTAAAAGCCCTAGGAAGGGAGAGACTGGAAACAGAGGAACTGAGGGGGTGAAAGATGAAAAGTCTTTTTAAAGGCCAGGGTCAGGTTCTGTTTTCCATTTAACTTCAAGTGTCAAAAAGTTGCCCAGGCATTAGAGCCACAACCTTTAACCCCCCTTCTCCCTGGAGGTGCTTCTCTGTCAGTAGCAAGTCCCAGATGGAGGAAGCTGGGCACATTTATGGTCACCTCCTCCTGTCTGGAGCTTGGTGACTCCCACTGTCTTTGCAAAGGAGTTGTCTATGCCAATAATATTTCTGTAGCAGCCTATTGTATTTTTTGAAGATTAGTAGATCTTTAGAGGGGGGTGGGGCAGGGGGCAGTTTCTATAGATAAAAAAACCAGTGTTTGTTGTACAACTGTTAGGGGTCATCTATGCCATGTGAAGTTATTATTTTTCTGAATCTTACTGTTTCTGAAATTGTGTCCTCCACCACTCCCTTCTTGGCTGACATTGATATGCCTGCCGATTGTCATCAAGGGTTATACTTCAATAAAAGGTGCTAAGGACAAAAAAGATCTATCTTGTGTATTTTGACTGAGGTGATACAAATTCTCTAATATTCTGCTGAAAAATATTAGAAAACAATTTGGTCACCTATCAATAATCCTTCATATGTAACCATATGACCAGAGCCTTACCCGCATCCCTAAACTCTCACCCTGGCCCTTCAGGGATAGCACTGATGCTATACCATTCATATGCCTAGTAAAATAATTCAGAATTCAGGAAAACTCAACAATAAGTGTAATCTCAAGTATAGACCTCAGCAGTATACAGAGTCCTGTTCTGGAGTCTAGCCTAGTCAGAGAGCTGAGGCACTTTCTAGACCTCCTCCAATCTTGAGTTCTACTATTATTATCTTCTACCTGATAGTCCAGTCTTTTATCTTCCCTCTTAGCAACCTGGAAAACAAGGTTCTCACTGACCAGCTCTCCAATATAACCTCAAGCCTCAGACCTAAATGCACTCCAGGCAGCAACTCTGACCCTGAAAACTATACATTTTCTCTCAGTCTACAAATTGTTTATATTCCAACTGATCTCCCATTCTAAATTTCCAGTGTGGTAGAGCGGAAAGAGCCCAGGTTTGTCATTAAAATGAACTATGTTCAAATTCTGGTTTTGCCACTTATTCTATGAACCTGAGTTATTTGCTCAACTTTTGGGTTCATTTTCTTATCTGTAAAATGAGAATAATAATATGTACCTTGCATAGTTGTGGCTTAAAAATAATAAATGAAAACTACCAGCAGTCTACTGAGAAATGGTTAGAAAGACAGAAACGCAGCTCCACCCCAAGACCACTAATTACAATCTGCATTTTAACTAGATTCCCAGAAGATTTATATGCATATTAAAGGTTGAGAAGCACTAACCTGTCATAAACTTGCTCAGTACATAGTAACAACCTAATATTCTAGTCCTGATTTATTCCAATTCATTATTTTCTAATCCCAGGGACATTTTTAATCTTTTCATACTGTTCACAACTACCTGCCTAAATGACATCAGCAACGTTGCAGGATACAAGGTTGATACATAAAATCACTTGTATTTCTACACACTAGTAATCAACAATTTGGAAACAAAATTAAGAAAACAACTCCATTTTTAAAAATTATGAAAATAGGGACACCTAAGTGGCTCAGTCCGTTGAGCATCCAAGTCTTGATTTTGGCTCAGGTTATGATTTCAGAGTTTTGAGATGAAGCCTCATGCTGACATCACAGAGCCTGCTTGGGATTCTCTCTCTTCCTCTCTCTCTGACCCTTCCCCACTCATGCACTCCAGCACACTGTGTTTTCTCTTTCTCTCTCTCACAATAAATATTTTTTTAATTATAAAACTTAATTTAGCTTACAATAGCATCGATAAGAACAAAATAAGAATACATTTAATTAAAGAAGTGTAAGAATTTCACACAGAAAACTACAAAAATATTGTTGAAAAAAATTAAAATCTTTTTTAAAAAAGTACTTAGATTAAAATCTATATATAGTAGTTAGATAACAATATTCCCCAAATTGAGCTACACATTCAATCCAATATTTATAAGAATCTTAGCTGTCTTTTTTGCATAAATTGAAAAGTCAAACTTAAAATTCATATGAAATTGCAAGGGACCCAGAATAGTCAAAACAATCTTTAAAAAGAACTAACTTGGAGAACTCACACTTCTCAATTTCAAAAGTTATTATGAAGCTAATCAAGACAGTGTGGTAGACATACAAGGGTAGACATGTAAATAAATGGAATTGTATTGAGAGTACAGAAATAAGCCCTATATGTATAATCAGTTAATTTTTTATAAAGGTGCCAAGACAAAAAAAAATAAAGAAAGAATAGGTTTTCAACAAATGATGTGGGGACAACTGGGTATCCACATAGAAAAAAATGAAGTTTGGGGCACCTCGATGGCTCAGTTGGTTGAGCATCCCACTTCAGCTCAGGTCATGATCTCACAGTTCGTGGGTTCGAGCCCCGCATCAGGCTGTGTGCTGACAGCTCAGAGTATGGAGCCTGCTTCAGATTCTGTGTCTCCCCCTCTCTCTGTGCCTCCCATGCTCATGCTCTGTCTCTCTCTGTTTCTCAATAATAAATAAATGTTTAAAAAATTTTTAAAGAAAAGAAAATATGAAGTTGACCTGTTTCCTTATAACACACAAAAATCAACTAAAAAGGGATTATAAACCTAAATGTGAGAATTACATTCACATGGAGCACCTGGGTAGCTCAGTTGGTTAAGGATCCAACTTTGGCTCAGGTCATGATCTCATGATTCATGGGTTCAAACCCTGCATCAGGTTCTGTGCTGACAGCTTGGAGGCTGGAGCCTGCTTCAGATTCTGTGTCTCCCTCTCTCTCTCTTTCTCCGCCCCTCCCCTGCTTGTGTTTCCTCTCTCAAAAATAAACAAACAAACACTTAAAGAATTACTTTCACAAAAGAATTACAAAATGCTAAAATGAAAACATAGGAGTAAATAATCTTGGCAATGATTAATTAGAACTCCAAGAGCACAAGTGGCAAAAGAAAATATAAATAAATTGGAGTACATTAAAAGTAAAAACTTCTATGCTGCAAACAATGCCATCAAAAAAGTGAAAAAATAATCCAAATAATCAGGAAAATATTTATATAGCACATATCTAATATATAAATATATTTTATTTATAACATATAACTGTTATAACTCAATAATAAAAATAAATAACTACAAAATGGGCAAAGAATCAGAATAGACACTTCTACAAAGAATAATTCAAATGGACAATAAGCACAGGCAAAGATACTCAACACTGAGGAAATACAAATCAAACAACAATGAGATACCACTTCATACACTATGATCAAAAAGACAGTAACAAGTGTTGGTGAAGATGCAAAGAAATTGAAACAGTCCTACATTGCTGGTGGGAATGTAAAATGTTGTGGCCACACTGGAAAATAATTTGACAGTTCCTTAAAATGTTAGACACATAGTTTCCATGTGATTTAGCATTCTTCTCCTAGACATATACTAAACAGAACTGAAAACAGGCGTTCAATTCAGGCAGTAACCTCTTTGACATTGGCCATAGCAACTTTTTTCTAGATATGTCTCCTAAGCAAGGTAAACACAAGAAAAATTAAACTATTAAGTCTACATAAAAATGAAAAGCTTCTGCACAGCAAAGGAAACAATCAACAAAACTAAAAGGTGGGACACCTAAGTGGCTCCATGGGTTAAGCATTTGACTCTTGAGTTTTGATCAGGTCATGATCTCACAGTTTGTGAGTTCAAGACCCATGTTGGGTCTGTCAGCTCAGAGCCTGCTTGGGATTCTCTGTCTCCTTTTCTCTCTCTGCCCTGCCTCCATTCATTTGCACAGTCTTTCTCTCTCTCAAAAAAAATAAATATTAAAAAAATTAAAATACACCTTACAGTATGGGAAAAGATATTTCCAAATGACATATGCACTAAAGGGCTAGTATCCAAAATATATGAAGAATGTATAAGACTCAACATCCAAAATATTAATAATCCAATTAAAAATAGGCAGAAGACATAAATAGACACTTTTCCGAAGAAGACATCCAGATGGCCAACAGACACATGAAAATATACTCAACGTCACCGATTATCAGGGAAATACAAATTAAAACCACAATGAAATATCACTTCACAACTATAAGGATGGCTAAAATCAACAATACAAGAAATGAGGTCCTGGTGAGGATGTGGAGAAAGAGGAACCCTCTTTGCACTGTTGGTGGGAACAAAAACTTATGCAGCCACTCTGGAAAACAATCTGGAGGTTCCTCAAAATTTAAAAGTAGAACTACCCTATGATTCAGCAATTGTGCTACTCAGTATTTACCCAAAATACAAAAATTTTAATTCAAAGGGATACATGCATCCCTATGTTTATAGAAGCATTATTTATAATAGCCATAATATTAAAGTAGCCCAAATGTCCATTGATTGAAGAATGGATAAAGAAGAAATGATATATATTTATATTTATATATAATGGATATTACTCAACCATACAAAAAGAATGAAATCTTGCCATTTGCAGTGATGCAGATGGAGCTAGAGTATATTATGCTAAGTGAAATAAGTCCATCAGAGAAATGCAAGTACAATATGATTCATGTGCAATTTAAAAAAACAAAACAAATGAGCCAAGGTGGGGGGAGAGAGCAGGATGCAAAACAAAAACAGACTTGTTTTATTTTAGAGAGAGGAAGAGAGAGCACAGGTGGGGGAGAGGGGTAGAAGGAGGGAGAGAGAGAGAGAGAGAGAGAGAGAGAGAGAGAGAGAGAGAGAGAATCTTAAGTAGGCTTCATGCTCAGCACAGAGCCTAATGCAGGGCTCGATCCCAAAATCCTGTGATCATGACCTGAGCTGAAATCAAGAGTCAGATGCTCAACTGACTGAGCCATCCTGGTGCTCCTTAGCAGATTCTTAACTGTAGAGATCAAGCTGATGGTTATCAGGGAGGAAGTGGGTGGGGGATGGGAAAAATAGATGAGGAAGATTAAGGAGTGCACCTGCTGTGATGAGCACTGGGTATTGTATGGAAGTGTTGAATCACCATATTCTACACCTGAAACTAATATTATACTGTTTATTAACAGGAATTTAAATAAAAATTTAATAAAATAGAACTACCTTAGAATCCAGCAATCCACTGGATTGCACTACTGGGCATTTACCTAAAGAATACAAGAACACTAATTCAAAGGGATACATGCACCCCAATGTTTATAGAAGCACTAGCTACAATAGCCAAATTATGGAAGCAGCCTAAATGTCCATCGACTAATGAATGGATAAAGAAGATGTGGTATATGTATATACAATAGAATATTATTCAGCCATAAAAAGGAATGAAATCTTGCCATTTGCAATGACATGGACGGAACTAGAGAGTATAATGCTAAGCAAAATAAGTCAGTCAGAAGAAGATAAATACCATGTAATTTCATTCCTGTGTGGTATTTAAGACACAAAAC